TACAATGAAGAGATTCGACTTAATACTTCTGCAAGAGATCTGAACCAAGATCGGAGGCTTCTAAAGGCGACATCGCTGGAACCTCGAAGCGACGAACTCGAACATCACGTCACTTTAACGATGGTTTCGGAACTGATTTTGGACTGATTTTGAAGCTGTTTTCGAGCTATTTCGCAGCTGGTTTTGCTGCTCCTTTTTGGATATATTTTTCGAAAGAAAGAGGAAGAAAGAATAACACGAGTACAAATTTTCTTAGCGTAGAAGAAGAAAATATTTTTTCTCCATTCCCTCCTACCTTTTTTTCTTCTCTCCCCTCTTTCTCCTCACATTTCTCTTCTATTTATAGAAAAAAAATTCGGAAATTTTTCAGATTTTTTAAAATTATTTTTTAATTAAAAAAATTTCCACTTCCCATTTTTTTTTTTTTAAACAAATAAATTCCCCACTTTCCGTTACTTTTATTTTTTAATTTTTCACTTTTTTACTTTTCTTTTTATTTTCCACTTATTTTACTTTTTTTTTATTTTTTATTTCCACTTATTTTACTCTTTTTTTTTAATTTTCACTTTCTTTTACTTTTCTTTTTTAATTCCAAATTTCTTTTTCTTTTCATTTTTAAAATTTCCACATTCTTTTATTTTTATTTTTTTAATTTTCCATTTTCTTTTACTTTTTTATTAAATAATTTCCACCTACTTTTACTTTTACTTTTTTATTAAATAATTTCCACCTACTTTTACTTTTACTTTTTTATTTCATACTTTTAAATTTTTTATTATTTTATTCCCATCTGAAAATTTAAAAAATATTTAATTTTTTGGTTTTTTTAAATTTATTTTATTTTAAAATAAAGATAAAAAAATAAAAAAAATACTAATAGTAATAATTTGACCTTTTAAATTATTTTTAATTCTTACCCTATAAAAAAATATAACAAAGCTAAAAATATATATATTAAATTTCTAAAAATATTTACATAGTAGAAGGTGGTAAAAATTCAAATATAGTCAAAAATTAGGTGCTCACAAGTACAATATTTTAATTATGAAACAATAGGTAACAAATATCCAAACAAGCTGCTAAGCACAAGTATTTCCTTGTAAAAATAATACTATTGATTATGCATAAGTTGAAATCATTGCTTGTGATAAGGCACAATGATAGCAAGGAACTGCTTTAAGCACAAGCAGTTCCTTGTAAGAATTGATTATGCATAAACTATAATAGCACAATGATAACCTAATTAGACCTAAAAGGCTAAAACCTAGTGCAAATAGTGGAATACTTCATGTATACATAGGACTAAAGAGAAGAATTAGCTAAAACTTGACATATTAGGATAATATAACCCGAAAAAAGAGGTTTGGAAATCAGTACTGGCTTTTATATCATGGGCCTATAAGTTAAGGCCTACACTCTTATCCACACTAATTAATGTTGCAGATGTCTCAATCCTTAATAGTTAATATACTTACTATTATATATATGAATCACCTAATCTGATAAACATATTTTAATTGCATCTTCTTGTGGATTATACATTTATTAACCTGTTTTTGTTTTTTGTACAGAAGAATTATAAGATAATATTAAATACATTAAGTTTATTAGTCGACCTTAGTATTCAATGTTGAGATGGCCGAGTTGGTCTAAGGCGCCAGATTAAGGTTCTGGTCCGAAAGGGCGTGGGTTCAAATCCCACTCTCAACAGATAATATTTTTCCTCCTTTTTTCATCTTGGTTGTTTCGCTGGTCCGAAAGAAATTTTTACATTGCATAGTCGCTCATCGAAAAAATAGTTAATATATGTATAGTTTTTTTTGATACATTAACTATAGGTATAGTTAATGTATAATTTATGTATATTGACTAAATTATGAAACTAGGGTTCCAAAAATGTCTTTTAACACATGAATGCTAGCAAACTGACTCGTGCACTTGAAAGGTAGATCTGAAAGTCAGCACAAGATTGGTCGTTACACAATTATTGAAACTCAATGTCTGGCTTTTAATTTCCTCCTCCTTTCTCTTCAAGAAACACAACAAATTAAAGTTGATCTTACATTCCTTTGGTCTTAGCACGAAGAAATCAAGAAAAATAATATTCTGTATACATCTTCATTTCTTCGACGACTCAATTACCTGTCACCTACAAATGGTACGTACGTATATATATATATATATATATATATATATANTTCATTAGATTGTATTTTTGAAAGTAAAACTAATATAGAATTAGGGAATCTTGGTATAATTTTATACTACATCCATTATATATGGATATAACAATCCAATGATTAACTATCGCTAAACTGACATTCTGCTATAAAGTGTTACTTATTAAAAGGTTAATAAGGTTTAAATTGAAAACAAACGTTAATCCAGTTTATAACCAAAAAAATCATAAGTTCTAAATAATCCTACGGTTAAGTCATATTACTACCTTTTTTTTCTGTTTTTGTTTTTTGCTTCGGTAATCTTACTGCTTTATATATTTTACTGTTGTTACAGTTATTGTCTTCATTATTTTCAACATGGTTTCTTTACTACTATTTTTCAACATGGCTTCTTTTTCGATCTTGCTTTAAAATGTTTTTCTTGAGCCGAGTGTCTATCGAAAATAGCCACTCTGCGTACACACTATCTTCCGATCCCCAGATCACACTTGTGTGAATACACTGGGTATGTTGTTGTTGTTGTTGTTGTTGTTGTTGTTGTTGTTGTTAATCTCATTGTTATAATTCTTGCATAATCTTGTCTACGAATCAATTGAACTTACTAGTGCCTCTACAGTTTTTACAGTACTTTGCTAACAAGTTAATTAAGTTTCTGACCATTTTTCTGTTCCTTTTTGTTCTTTCTTTTTTGGGTTAATTTACATGCAGTCTTTTGTTCCCTTGATGCTTCGAGTTTTGGTCAGATTTGTAACATCTATAGCAAGTGAACCAGCAACTTCAGTCACTACAATTCTCTTTTACAGTGAGCTTCTTCCTCAGAGTACAGTGCTACAAAGGTTGATTCGACACGAGTTAGTTCTTCATAACCAAGACAATTATCTGTTACATTTCCTCATTTCTCTCTTGAGATGTTTTGTAGATTAATTATAGATATGTATCTTAATGTTTTTCAAGTAAAACATGAGTTATTCATTAGATGCAAATCCATGATTTGAATTTATGAGTTCCTACAACAACTTCAAGTTAATACTACAGATGATTACATGAGCGGATCTAGAGGTTCTGTTAAGCAATATCCACGTGAACCCTACTGGGCAGGATGAAAGCTACTGGATTCACGTGAATGCTGGACAGAAACTCTAGATATATATGCTCCTGTAATCATAGGTCAATCTCCCATTAACTTTTCTTACCTTGTTTTTTAGTCTTCATTTTATCATTTATACCTTGATTTTTCTACCATATATTTCTACTAGCTAGTCATTTGTGGATCATGTGAAGAAGAGCTTTTACCATTTCATGATCCATAATGTTGACTTTTAGGTTACGTAGATGAGGTTTGAGTTGCTTTGAGAAATCCAATTGCATTATTGTACGTTCAGTATATGGGGTTGGGTAATACTACATTTTTGGTGGCATTGCTCGTAGGCTTGTAGCCCCTCGTACTTGCTTTCTTTACTGCATAAATAAGGGCATAAGCGAAGTTAAGGGATCCCGTCTAACTAATGCTCGAGAGTAAGCAAGCTATCATCATTCAACAGATTTGTGCTTGAGTCAATAATATGTTGGCAGGGGAAGGTGTTGCATTGTGCATATGTAGTGCCACTAGGTGATGTGCGCATGGGAGCGCATGCTGCTCCGATCGAAAACAAATCAGTGGGGCTATGTCGGTACTACGGAATATGCGTTAGAAAGGTCAACCTCTTCCTTACGACATCAAAATAATCGGGCCGAACTTCTAAACCGCTCGTTCCATAAAACAATATCGTGACAACATAGACCTAAGTGGTCATATTGGATCCTTGAGAAAAATGCCATGTCGCTCAGCGAAGCCTAGAAGAAGGTGACTCGCGAAGACATCTGACTCATTTTCAATATAAAAGAATAGCCAAACCAATCCAGTTGGCTGGTCAATCTCAGAGATCTTGTCGGTCGGCAAATCGGAGACGGCTAAGCACATGACTTAGCTTGTTCAACTTCTTGCGGCCGTTGTGGCCGGGTTGTGTACGTGCGAAAAACTTGTGCCTTTATCCTAGGTTGGGTAGCCTGTGCCTAGTCCGGGCTTGCTTTGGCTTTGTAACGTTGGCATAGGTAGCAATACGTGACATTGATATTTTGTGTGTATTTACGAGGCATGTGAACCTATGACACATGAATGATCTGTCAAGAGAACAAAACAATTTTCTAACTTTGAATGGTTTCTTTCTTGGATAAGATTAAAATCAAGGGAAATTTGTCTTCTCTTTAAAATGAGGAAAAACCAAAAAAGAAAAAAGAAAAATTATTTCGCTGGTATCATTGTTAGGTGACACTGACAGCTTAAACAAGGTTCTTTTGTCAGCTTCAGAAAGACACCAGCTTGATGCTGCAACTTGTTCAACTCCAAAGCAATGAAGAAAAATTAATAGTTTTTATAAAGTTTGGAATTTTGGCTTCTAACCGTCAGAAAAGGCTTGTTTTTATCAGAGTTAAATAGCTTTCTAGATTCCATTCTATCATATTTCGCCAACTATAACAACATATCTTATCCTACCTCACGTAAGTAGAAAGGCTGTTCAATAGTAAAGATGTTGGTTTTTGTGCAGCTTACAATAGTAAAAATGTTAATTTTGGTAGTAATTGTGCAGTCTAACGGTCTATAAAATATGTGAAAACTATAAAATATCAGACTTCAAAATTTCAGCAGAGACAAATATTAGGTAATTTTCTTTCACCTCATTTTAGCTGTGATAGCAAGTATCTAATAAAATAATTGAGGTGAATTCAGTCTAACCAAAACACTACCATTATTAGAAAAAAAGTTAATTTCCCGCCAAAATTACCTCATCCCTCAAAAATCCCATATATTTACTACATTCCCTCTCTCTCAAAACACACACACACACACACAGATGAAGGGAACTTCCAAGATAAAAATGGCAGCAGTATTAATAATAGTGGTGAGTCTTGCAATGGTTCTAGGTCTAGTCTTAGTTCTACTTGCTGAGTTCTTCTGCTCTCTCTTACTTCTTCGCCGACAACGGTCAAAAACGACTATAAATTCCACGTCAGCCTCCATCGCACAACCACCACCACCACGTCACCAAGATCAATCAATTGCTCCAATTCTTAGTAGCTTCTATGCACAAGGGGTTCTTCACGCTCCTAGAAATTTCCTCTTCCCTAAAGACAGCTTATCCAGTGTAATCCCACAAGTGCAGTCTGGGGCGTACACAGACCTTAACCCTAAAAAAAATTTTGATTTTGAAATGCAAAATCGAAATTCTTCTCCACCTTATCCTTCCTTTGTTCAAATTCAATCCCCTAAATTAGTACATGAAGTGCCACTACAATGTAGCACTAGTACATGTACAACTATGGAGCAATTTGTTTACATATCAAATCCAATTTATGATAATGAAAAACTCAGGCCTAGTATGGTTGATACGCCTTTTGAAACACCCAATTCATCGCCCTCTTATCTCGAAACAATTGATAATTCTTCAGAGAAAGACGACGAAAATTATGGAATATCATCTTCTTCATCAACTAGTCCATCTTCTTCAGTTCAATTAACTCCAATGAAGAAACTTCCAGCTGAGGCATGTTCAGTTTCACTTAGAGATGTTAGATCAATTGTAATTTCAGGAAGTGATTCCAATAGTAACAACTCTTCTTCTTCGTCTGGATCTCCTTGTACTTCTCCTTCTTGGTAAAATTTGCAAAAATTATGTACTTAAAATTTTCTTGTTAGGGTTTGTTTTAGTGTTCTTTGTTTTATTTAGAGCTGCATTAATGTAGGTTAAATTAGTTCAGTTTGCTTAGTCCTTGTTGTTAATGTAATAGGGATGCTAAAAAGGTAGTATAGATAAAGAGTAATATTAGATTATTAGAGACTTAGAAAGTTTGAAGGCGTGACAATGTGTGCACTTAGACCTAGGCCACGCCGAATTGCTTCGCTATGTACTCTTCTTTTCAACTTGCCTTCTTGTTTACTGTTAAAGAGGCATTCTTTGATCTGCTAAAGGAAAGCAAATATCATGTATTTACTTTTTTTTGTTGTTGAAAGTTTAAACTTTATACACACTAAATACTGTAAAAAAGAATCTCATCATATCACCAACAAGGGTTGTGGTGATACTCGTTTGGCCGAGGGCTTACAAACACATTGTAAGCTAAACCACCGTTGGCAAATAAGCAAGCCACAATGAATAGGAAATAGTAAGTATTCTTTTATTCTTAATCAGATGCATCGGGTTCGAGTCCTTGGTATGAAGTCGCCTTTGCTAGAGAGTGTTTTATCCCTCCGATGTGAAACTTTCCGGCACCTGACTTAATTAGTCGGACCCTAATATGATATCAAACACCGAGTGAAAAACCAAAAAAAGATCTCATCATATGATATCATATAAAAGATGATTATATATAGGTAACCGACCATCCACGACGAGTAAGGATAGTAGTTTGAAAAATAAACTTGTTATAATATGTTAAAATAAAGATAATATAAAAAGAATTTTAGAGGTAAAATAGACGGTGTTGGAATTGAGAAGGTGCATGTGAAGAGGGGGTGGACCAAAGAAGACTAGAAGAGGCAAAAGATATCTCTATTTTTCATGGTAAAAGGACCTTTGTTTGCTGATACCTATGAAGCAGAGAGTCAAAGAAAACAAAAGCTTAAGAAAGTGAAACCTGTGAGGTCTTTTGTCCTCTTAGAAAAGGACGACTTCTGTTGGTCTCGATGCATAGCGCATGCAGGGGCGGACCCACGTGTTATTAAGCGGGCACAGCTAAACCCGCTTCATCAAAAAATAGTAATGTGTTCATCAGTAATTGATGTTTAAAATAGTAAAATGCATTTAAATTAATATATTTGAACTCACTTGAAGTAAATGTTACGTTTGTAAACATGGTTATACGGGTTCAAGACTACACATGAGGTCATATGTTCGAGACCCTTTTCCCTTTTATGATTTATGTAATTTTTCCTTTTTTATTTCTATTGCTACAGAAAATGTGCAATGAGTAACCACCATTTACCTTGTAAAATTATTATTCCAATGTCTTCTACTTCTTTTTTTCTCTATTTTACTGCATATTTTTAACTTAATTCAATAGAAATCAACTTTATTTTACTTCAAAAAATTAAACCTTTCTACAAAGTGATCTTCTTTTTTTTTTTTTTTTTTTT